ACGTAGGTTTCAGTGTTCTGGGGCGTGTTTGTACGGGGCGACAAAGACAAAGCATTTTTGCATGTGATAGATTAGTATAAAAAATTATTTATTGTTGTAAAAAAATATACTCAATTGTATCTTTTAAATAACATTTTGTAATAGTCTTTATGTCTATAAATTGTTGTTAATTTCAATAATAAAGATTTCAAAAAGCCTTAAATTATTAGCCTTAAATTTACATAAAAAAATAGAGACCGGAGAGATTCTTCCGGTTTTTGCCGGTTCTTCTCTGGAAAGGTCTAGTTAGTGAACCGGTAGTAGTTTTTGTGACTTTCAATAAGAAGCTTAAAAGAAAATAATTATGTTGCGTATATAATCTTTTTTATTTTCTTTTTTTTTAAACATTGCCCTCACTTTAGGATAACATTATGGTGTGTAGTAAAGACGTTTTACAAATATAAATTCCACGAGGACAAACACCCAGATGCGAAACAACTATCTGTGGGTCGCACAAATAGGTGTCCCGTGTGGGAATCGAACCCACGACCCCCGACGCCAAAGCTAATACCTTGTCATCTGCGCCATGGAGTCATCTTTTACGGGCTTATTAATGCCGCAAAAAAATGTTATAATAGCTCGGTCGGTAATCGAGCGGCCCCAAAACAGACGGCCGCGGTTCGTATCACGATCATTTACATATTTATTTTTTTTTGTATACCAGATCATTTTCTTTAGTTTTAATTTTTTTTTATTTCCAAAATACATGATTTACCAAAAATAACATCAACCAATGCTCGATCCTCCAGGTACTCCTTACTAACATTATAAAGGCGAAAGTTTTTATGTATGGATGGATGTTTGTTACTCTTATATATAAGACATAGGCTATAAAAGGCTGTGGCGCAACCACGCAGCGGCCTCGGCTGTTGCACGAATGGGCAGGCCCGTCCGGGTAAACGCCCGTACGGGCGTGAATTGGAAGTATAATACTTTCGCGTTTCGTCTGGTGAGTGAGGTGGCCGGAGCCCAATTTTCAAAACTTTGCCAACGCATCTAGAACCCTCGAGTGTAGCAGATGTCCATGGGCGGCGGTATTCACTTAACATTAGGTAAACCGTCTGCACAATGTCACGCTTGGCAATTTTTCACATAAAAAAAACATATTTTATGTATATCTGTCTTTCTGTCCGAATGTTACACCTTCAGCCTATTCTACGCAGACGTGGTTGCGGGCTACAGCTAGTGTTTCTAAAAAGAGGGTATTAGGACGTAGTCTACCACACGATCGCACTGCGGATTGCCAGACTTCACATCCTTCACTTCCCCACGTTGTTTTATTTCACCGTTGAGCATGTGATAAGTCAGCACATAAAGTTAATAATTTCATTGATTCCGGCACCGCGATTTATACAGTTTACTCGAGTTTTTTAAATTAAAAGCGAGTGCCCGCCCGGCGCAACATTCACGATTCACGAGACAAATTCTGAATTCTGGTTGGTCAACTTAAGGTCAAATTATCGGGTTGAATTAGCTTAAGCATGCAATAGCATGCAGTCGTATGTAAAACCGCAAACACGAGCTCAGCGAAGCTTTTAAAATATTTCGTTTAAAATAGGACAAGCTATAGAGTCTCTGACCAGAATTGTGCTTTATCTGGTTAAATATGAATTAAAAAACGGCCAACTGCGAGGTGGACTCGCGCACGAAGGGTTCCGCACGATTGTCTATAAAAACGGCAAAAAATCGTGTCTGTTGTATGGGAGCCCCACTTAAATATTGTTTTATTATATTTTTTAGTATTTGTTGTTAAAGCGGCAACAGAAGATGAACAGACAGACAGCGGAATCTTAGTAATAGGGTCCTAATTTACCCTTTGCGTAGGGAACCCTAAAAACGTCAATAACCATTTTCGCTACTCTTGCTAAAACGCATCGAAAGGAAACGATGGTCTGTATTCGTTATGCCAATAAAGATAAATTTGAAAAACCTCGAAATCGAAAAAATCATCAAACAAACCAATACTGATATTTGGATGTTTAAAATAGTTGACATTCATTTTTCATCAGACTATTGACCATAATGATGAACGGTGGTATTAAATCTGAGGCTTAGTCGCAACACTAGATTGGCAAAATAAATCCTACTTAAAATGGCTGACATAACATTTAGGATTAACGGACGGATTCTTGCCAAAATAATAAAGCTCATATAAACGTGATAAAAAAGCACCTTTGTAATGCGACGCATTTATTATAATTATATACAGATTAATTTAAGCCTTATTTCGCCGTGAAGAAAGAACTTCACAAAAACTTTCTTATTTATTAGCGTTACACAAAGTTTTTAGAACAGGCCAGTTAGAAACATTACCAAAGAAAACTTCTTTTAAATTTTGAATATGGAACTTTTTGATAACCTAATGTGATATATTGAATTCATTTGTCAATTCCAAAAGTCTTGTTGCACCTCACAATTAATTTAACGTGAGAAAATTTTCAGTCCATGATTTATTACGACTTTCGTTGTGGTCTTGCTCCACGAGATCAGTTGGCATTTAATAATGAAGCCCAATCCCGTGCCACTGTTTATAATTGGTTTAATGAGTTTAAACATGGGCGTTGCAATCTCGTCATGATCTGCGGGAGAGACGTCCGACGAATATTAGTGCTGTGACGCATGATAGAGGAAGATAAAAGAGTGACCTACCAGCAGATTCGGGCAAGCTTAGGCATTGGTATGAGTCAAGTACAAAAAATATTTCACGACTATTAAAGCGTCAGGAAGCTTTGTAAAAGACATGGCAGTCACCCCGTTAGGTTACAAACACTTGTTTATACGTCGAACATCCAGTAATAATCGAGTTTTTACTACGCCCTGTATTACCCTTATTGATAGTTGTGTGAATATTTCAAAAACGTCGAAATTGTATTACGAGGCTCGTTCGTTCGCAAACAAAGCCACTTGTCTGATATTAAAATCGACAACCCCCAAGCGTTATTCTTTTTGAATATGCATAGGTAAATATGGCGTCCCCCCACGCCGCGCGGTGGCCATACGTTAATCACTCATAAAAAAGACAAAGCTACTTCTGAGGCACGTCATATCCTGCGTCGGCCTTAGCTTTCATTAAGGCTGACGTTACATTATCATTTTAGCAGATTCTGTGCTGATTAAGTTTGATTTGGAAGTTAAAACTAATCCGAGGTTTAAAAGTTAACTTTTCGTGTGTCTCAATGTGAATAAAAATGTTGGCTTTGAATATTGCTTTGATCACGGATGACTTTTATTTTTTCCTGACTGATAAATTTAAAATGCGTACAACCTTTGACAGCCAAATGTCATTGTGTTATTTGGTCAATAACGAGAGTGCCTAATGATATATCTATAACATTTTTTGGTTGCATGTTTAATATTCGAAAATAGGAAGAATTTTTGATGGTTCCTCATTCTGGCCGATCGGATTGTAACTAAGGAAACATGTCAGATAAATTGTTGTTCATAAAAATTATCTGTTATTTCGAATTACAAAACATTATATATTATTGCTTCTGTTTATCACTTTTGTTAAAGCACGCAAAATAGGGCAACGAAGCAACTTCTGGTGCATGTATGTGCAAGCTCGTCCTGGGAAAAACCACTGCATCACAGAGCATCGTGATGGAAGTGACGTGCGGTGGAAGTGTTATGCTTTCGCGTTACGTCTGGTATGAGGTTACTGGGACCCATTTTTTGATGTTGGCGACGAATGTGCCGCTCCAAAGCTGTAGACATGGCGGCGATAATCACTTAACATCGCTTGCCAACTTATCACATAACACATACACTTCTCTGTATGTTGACGAAACTAAAGTTGTGTGGAATGCATTCACGAAGCACGCGTTAGATCGAGGAGCCACGATAATGTAACGGCGACCTAAAGAACGAAGGTGGCCGAAGCTCCTTAATGACCCGACGCTCGTGTGTCACGGAACAGGCTAATATTTATGTAAATTGCGGAGAATATGATTAGGCCGCGTCGCCTCCCCCACTGATAATCATATTTACGGCCCCCAGCCCCCCCCCTTTATGGACGGGGTGTGCGCTCTCCCACTGGACGCCCGAAGGCCGCGCTGTCTAGTTTGTTTTCTGCGGAAATTCTAACTGAAATCGCCCAACGAATGACAACGTTCAAAAGGGCAGTAAACGAACGTTTCTCCCATTTCGTTCCGATCGAACTACTGCACGTATATTAAAAAAAAAATCCTCAATAAAGCTATCCGTCTATGGAGTTTTGATGTAATAAGCTCGGGGGTTCTGCCGCTGCCTCGGCAGAAATATCTTCTGCCGAGAATATCTTAAGAAAATATCTTACGTTTACAAAATAGGAATTGAATTATATATCTGAATTAAGTTATATATTTTGTGACTTTGGCGTGCGCCCCAGGATTATTAGCTTTTAATGCGTCCTTTAGGTTTTAAATAATTAAAAAAAATTATTCATCATCCCCTTTTGGTAACCATTTTTTCGAATACAGGAAATTCAAGAATCGCAATTTTGACTTTTGATAGTGAATTAGATAATTGTTACATATTCCTGTATACGTAGATGACTTGTAGATTTTCAGTTTAAACTATGCGGTGCTGTCGTTTTTCGACTTGTGTTGTAGATAACCTGTGAATATGAGGCATTCATGATGTGTGCAAAATCATGTTTCATTTCATAATTGAAACCGAACTGCTTTAGTGGACACAGAGTGTTACAACTGTGACATATCTATGTAGTTGTAGCACTCTGAGTCAACATCACTCATAGATGTGAGTCAACTCTCCCTGTCTCAAGAGAGCGAAAGAAAAAATATGACTATTCACGAGATTCTAGAAACCATCGTGATAATATTAAAACCGATAATAATTTCAAACATTGATGTGTCGATGTCCGCGAAAGTGGTAGTCGAACTACCACGTTATATGAACTGATCTTTATTTGCTATACTTAAAAAGCAGTAAGGCTTTTTCAAAGATAATTTGTGTGACAGCTATACGGCGGTATAGTTAGGGCACAAGTAGTAGTGCGACGTCGCGGGCGGGTGGCGCTCAAGTCTCCGCTGACAGTTGGCGAGCGAGCGCGGGTCGAGACAGCGCGGGCGGTCACTATCGCGTTTCCCGCGTGAAAATCGCTTTCCTCGCGGCCGCGGTGCGGCGGAGCACGTGAACGCAGTGTCCCGCCGGCCGCTCGCGTGACACGCCGCGCACCTCGCACACCCAGCCCGCCCATCCCGCGGGAGCGGTACGGCCACGGCGCCCGCCCGCGACACACTGCCGCCCGGAGCAATTCGCGCGCCCCGAAAACTCGCGTTCGATTTTCGAACTGTTCACTTTTTAAATATCACGCCGACGACGCTGCCATCGATTGCTCTATCTCTTCCGCCGCGGCCGTGGACGCGATGCGGTCTAAGGCGGTGGCGAGGCGGCTCCATGCTCAAGGTGAGCTTTCTTTCGTCTTCGCACTGTTTATGGAACATGGTACTGTAGTGAAGGAACTGTTTAATGTATTTTAAGGTAGCATTTGGCTAAACAATGTTACACTTTTACGAGCTTTCGGAGTGTAAATTAGTAGGTATAGATAGAGGCACAACGATGCATGGTGATGCGCTGTCCGCGCTCTCCGATTGGTTAACGCCTCCCCCGCCTGACAAGATAGCGTGGGACATCCTCCGTTCGTTGATAAGCGTAAATGTCGTTTATTGTAACGCCCCACGGTTGATTTTCATATGTACATGATACAGAGAGGGACGATCCCTCCGTTGTCACTTGTCATTGGATGAGTACGGAAGCTCTCAGTGTTTATTTACTTTATATATATAAAACTTTGTCGTGGCTTTCAGTTTTCCCGTATTCATAATGTAACATGTGACAATAGAACAGGAAATTTACATAGAAATGAAATAAAAAGATGTTAAAAGATGTTTCTTAAAATTAACTTTAATTTAAAATTAAGGTAAAATAAACCACATTCTCAAGTTTTAAGAATAAATACTGTGAGTACAGATTTCTATTGTAGTTACACTATATAGAGAAAATGTAGCATCACTTATAAACAACCCTCGTATGTTATTATTTTGTTGAATATGTTGTCTTGTGTGGAACCATACATTTGTTTTATAATATAAAAAAAAAAAAACAATCTATATTTTCTCTGATTACCGTCTAACTAATATCGATTTAGATTTTACAGACGGGAGAACATACAACTATTTGAAGAGTCAGTCAGCTAAGCTGTCATAGCCTAAAAAATATCTATACATAGCATAGCGCATTGATACAGCCCCGCTATCAGCGAGACAGTTATTTTCCAAACATCGGTTGCACAACGCGCTCAGCAATCATCAGTTTTTACGATTCGGTTTATAGCGTGCCGTGACGTCGACATATCGCTCGTAAACCTCTATGCACTTCTAGTATCGAGTGTTATTACTTGTTTCGAAAGCGTCGCATTAGAAAAATACGTTTCCATCGCGTTTCCATCGCTCGCTAATGCGTCCGAGGTAAAGACATTCCAGGTGTGCAGAAACACGATAGTAAAGTACAGTATCAGCTTATAAATGTCCCACTGCTGGGCAAAGGCCTCCTCTGTATAGAGGGTATCAGGGCATAGTCCAACACGAGGCCCCACTGCGGATTGGCGGACTTCACATATGTTCGAAACATTTTTTATTTTTTATAAGTTTATATTTCTGTCCTTTTAAAGTTACTCTATCGGTTTTGCCCCAATGAATTGGCTTTTTCGGGATAATAATAGCAAAGTAGAAAGTACTAATACTTAACAACACTAATACTTCTGCTTTATGCTACAGAGATTATTACTGTTGAGCGGATAGCGTTCTGGTATTCCTCTGATGTTGCCAGGCTCTATGGGCGCCGGCGATCACTCACCATCACGTGACCTGCTTGTTCATTTGCCTAATTTTCCGCAAAATAGACAGGCGAAGCGTCACCATCTTTAAGTTTGGCAACTTATCTGCAACGCTATTGAAGTTTCCCCTTCAAGTTATCTTGAAATCACTTATTGTGAAGCGAAACCCATCCCGGTTTGCGAGCTTTCCTTAAAAAAAAAAAAAGAACTACTGTAAAATACTACTACTTAGATCTTCGGGGACGGATACACATATAAATTGGAACTTTTATGCATAGTTAGAGTTTGGAAAACAGCCCGGCATGGTTCATTTCAGGTTGATCACTACATAATATAAACAAAGTCGTCCCGCTGTCTGTATGTCACTATTTTTGCTTAGATCTTTAAAACTACGCAACGGATCTTGATGCGGTTTTTTGCTAGATAGAGTGATTCAAGAGGAAAGTTTATACGATAAAACATTGTACCTAGGATCGTATAATATTTAGTAATTTATATATAAATTAGTAATTTATATATATCAGTTGCATGGATAAGCATCAAGGCAATAATTTTGATAATATACAAATAAATAAATAAATCTACATCCCAGAAGAATTTAGATTTATTGTTTAGAATTTATAGTTTTATAGTTTAGATTTAGGCTTATAGTTTAGAAGGCAGGCTGGTAGAACCATGAATATTAGCGAATACTCCTACGACGTAAAAGATTGGTAAGAAAGAGGTCTGTTATGAAATACAATTTTAAAATTAGGATATCATCTTCAATTTATTTTCGCGTTTACATTAATAAGTAGTCGTGGGATGAGACAGAAGGCTGAGACGAAAATTTGCTATCATGTCCCAGCTTTGCTTGATACTTCGGATATCCTACTAACAATTGCGACTTAAAGGCTGTCTGTGACAGGCTTTACCACATTGAAATGTTTAAGACAAAACAGCTACTTTAAAATTAAATAATAATAGCTATTATAACAGACTATCAGTTTAGGGACTACAGACGAGACAATTTGTATTTATTGTCATTGATTACAATTTTTACCATCTTTCGAAGAGGAGCAAAACGTGTAAAATATCGGTAGTATTTCATAAAATATATAATAATGTATATAGAATAAAAATGAAATCGGAAACAAAAATATATTCTTACTTTATATTTCTGTCACACTTGTAATTAGAAACAAATTCCTTCAAATGTATTGTTCGGGCATGTAATACTGTACGGTGGTAGGGCCACGCAGCAGCCTCGGCTGTTGCACGAATGGGCAGGCCCGTCCGGGTAAGTACCACGACCTCACAGAAGACCAGTGTAAAGTGGAAGTATGATAAATACTTTCGCGTTTTGTCTGGTGAGTGAGGTAGCCGGAGCCCAATTTTCAAAAGGTTGTCAACACATCTGTAACCCTCGGGTGTAGCAGATGTCCATGGGCGGCGATCTTTTTCCATGAAATAATCACAAATCATTTGTTTCATAATTTATAACATTTGAATGGGCTGTGCGCTGATAATATCTTTTCATATTTATATTTTTTTGTGGTTAATGAGATGATAAAAGTTTAATGAACATAAATATTATCAGCATGTTCGTTATTGCCTTATCCTGCGCATGGGATACTACAAATATGATTTCCATAGTATTTAGTCTATATTAGAATACAGATTCAAAAGCTTTTTAATTACTTAAAATAACTCTATAACGCATTATTTTATCTAAATGTTATATGTTTTGTAATAATGAACATTATGGATCATATTTTTGCGATGATACAAAACACATTTTTCAAATTGATAACATCATGCTTAAACCAAAGCTACTGAAATGAAAGAACATACGTTTATATTTTCTGTCATTATTATTGTTTTTTAAAAAGATCCTAAAATTAAATCCATTCTTTTTAAAAGTGTATCAACATCTTCGATCGAGCCTAATTTTCTGAAAAAACTTTTTCTCTCTTACAGTGGAATTTATGAGAATACTGAATTGAGTAATATAATATGTTATGTAGCTTGTAATGAAGTGGGATACAGCAAATTCCAATCCTATTCAATATGTTTATTCAATATATAAGCATTACACTTTCTTATTGATGGTGTAAATTATAGTACTACCCGTTCGGAAAAGAAGCCACTGATCTGAAATGAACCAGCGAAAGAACCTCAGCGGGTCAATTTTTTTACAATAATTGGACAGTGAAAACATGTGCAGGTACAACATATTAAAGTCCACTTGAAAGAGCTTGGAGGGATCAATTCATTGCCAGTGTATGTTATCATTTAAATAATCACTAATATTATAAGAGGCGTTATTACACAAGTCCCTTTACAATTTTTTTTATTTTAGTAATTGATAAATTTTGACTATTTTCTATTGATGTTGTAAAACGTATAAAATGTCCCATAAAAATACTTATTCTACACAGTCTCATTTTCCTCATTTTCCTTTAAACATATAGATGTATAATAGGAAATGTATACTTCCAGTATGTAAGGGAAATCTTGAAAGTGGCACCAGTGACTGCAAAAATAAGAAGTGGTAGGTTGACATTGTATGGCCACGGTGAACGGATGAAACTCATGTCACTAGTAGAGTGATGAGTATGAATGTCGTTAGTGGGCGTAAAGGAAGACCGTGGAAGATTTGGATGGAATGTGTGAAGAATGATATGTCTGTGATTGCGATGACAACTGATAGAGGAAAGTGGAGACATGTTGTGTCGAACTTAACGTGAGATATGAGAGAAAGAAGATATTTTCAGTAGATGCCAATATGCGAAATTTTAGAAGTTTATCTGAAAGAGATGACAAAAAAAAAACTAGTTATTTAATATTTTAAAGGACATAGAATGTAGATATAGAATTCATTTATTGTATTACTTACTTGCTAACAGTGTTTTTGGTATATTCAGAAATACAAATAATGTTTTCCTTCCGAAAACCTCATATTTTATACAATGTCTATAATATATCTATACGCGTCTGACTTAATTTATTTGCCTAAAAATATGCTAATTAATTATGACAGGCGCGTAAAAGCAGTTAAAAAAACTAGACTGAAGATTAATATATGTAGAAAAATTACGAACAGGTTGTCGCCACTGTCGGAGTCATAAACTCACGACTTCGGCATTCACGGCCTGACGCTTTAAACACTAAGACGGCTGATTGTTTAATCTTAAGTGCAGAGATTAGCACTAAAAAATTTATACTAGTCTGAAGTAAAGGTAGATACATAACTTATTCGTTTTATTCAATCATGAACCGAAGTTTTAACTTATTCCAAACTGTGACTAAAATCAAGTTGCAATTAATGATACATAAAAATATGAGATTAATGGACAAAAAATGTCATCAGGCAGAAATGTTCGTCATCATTTCACATTTAAACAATAGTTCAAGTTGTGTAAATGTGAAACTATATGCTATACAAAATCAAAATAGATATATATATAAAACACTACCTGCTGCCCGCGACTACGTCTGCGTAGAATAGGCTGTAGGCGTAACATTCAGACAGAAAGACAGATATAAAAAAAAAGTATATAAATTATAGCCTATGTTTTATTCTGATGTATAAGCTATATTATTGTAAAGTTTCATTAAAATCCATTCAGTAGTATTTGCGTGAAAGAGTAACAAACATCCATCCATCCATACATACAAACTTTCGCCTTTATAATATTAGTAAGGATTATATTATTACATATTGCGATAAGGAGATTACTACAATAAAATGTTATATTACGGCTTTCTGTTTAATCCTGTCATATGAAATACCCATTTTTTATTCAATATATAAGCATTACACTTTCTTATTGATGGTGTAAATTATAGTACTACCCGTTCGGAAAAGAAGCCACTGATCTGAAATGAACCAGCGAAAGAACCTCAGCGGGTCAATTTTTTTACAATAATTGGACAGTGAAAACATGTGCAGGTACAACATATTAAAGTCCACTTGAAAGAGCTTGGAGGGATCAATTCATTGCCAGTGTATGTTATCATTTAAATAATCACTAATATTATAAGAGGCGTTATTACACAAGTCCCTTTACAATTTTTTTTATTTTAGTAATTGATAAATTTTGACTATTTTCTATTGATGTTGTAAAACGTATAAAATGTCCCATAAAAATACTTATTCTACACAGTCTCATTTTCCTCATTTTCCTTTAAACATATAGATGTATAATAGGAAATGTATACTTCCAGTATGTAAGGGAAATCTTGAAAGTGGCACCAGTGACTGCAAAAATAAGAAGTGGTAGGTTGACATTGTATGGCCACGGTGAACGGATGAAACTCATGTCACTAGTAGAGTGATGAGTATGAATGTCGTTAGTGGGCGTAAAGGAAGACCGTGGAAGATTTGGATGGAATGTGTGAAGAATGATATGTCTGTGATTGCGATGACAACTGATAGAGGAAAGTGGAGACATGTTGTGTCGAACTTAACGTGAGATATGAGAGAAAGAAGATATTTTCAGTAGATGCCAATATGCGAAATTTTAGAAGTTTATCTGAAAGAGATGACAAAAATAAAAAAAAAAACTAGTTATTTAATATTTTAAAGGACATAGAATGTAGATATAGAATTCATTTATTGTATTACTTACTTGCTAACAGTGTTTTTGGTATATTCAGAAATACAAATAATGTTTTCCTTCCGAAAACCTCATATTTTATACAATGTCTATAATATATCTATACGCGTCTGACTTAATTTATTTGCCTAAAAATATGCTAATTAATTATGACAGGCGCGTAAAAGCAGTTAAAAAAACTAGACTGAAGATTAATATATGTAGAAAAATTACGAACAGGTTGTCGCCACTGTCGGAGTCATAAACTCACGACTTCGGCATTCACGGCCTGACGCTTTAAACATTAAGACGGCTGATTGTTTAATCTTAAGTGCAGAGATTAGCACTAAAAAAATTATACTAGTCTGAAGTAAAGGTAGATACATAACTTATTCGTTTTATTCAATCATGAACCGAGTTTTAACTTATTCCAAACTGTGACTAAAATCAAGTTGCAATTAATGATACATAAAAATATGAGATTAATGGACAAAAAATGTCATCAGGCAGAAATGTTCGTCATCATTTCACATTTAAACAATAGTTCAAGTTGTGTAAATGTGAAACTATATGCTATACAAAATCAAAATAGATATAATATAAAACACTACCTGCTGCCCGCGACTACGTCTGCGTAGAATAGGCTGTAGGCGTAACATTCAGACAGAAAGACAGATATAAAAAAAAAGTATATAAATTATAGCCTATGTTTTATTCTGATGTATAAGCTATATTATTGTAAAGTTTCATTAAAATCCATTCAGTAGTATTTGCGTGAAAGAGTAACAAACATCCATCCATCCATACATACAAACTTTCGCCTTTATAATATTAGTAAGGATTATATTATTACATATTGCGATAAGGAGATTACTACAATAAAATGTTATATTACGGCTTTCTGTTTAATCCTGTCATATGAAATACCCATTTTTTTATGTAGTAAAAACATTTCTTATATGACATCAAATTATTTTGTGAAATAAGAAAACTCAATGCATCGCCTCAAAATCCTATTATATGACATTGAAACTGTAAAAAAGACATTTTAGAGAGGCTGTTCTAAAAATAGCTGTGAGATTTAAGTGAAAATTAAAGTGACGAAAATTTTAGAAATTTTTACAAAATTGACAAAGGATGCGGTGAAGATTATTGTTAACATAATTTAGGTAAATATTACTAAAAGTGTCTATTGGCTACCGAAAAATTGTGTTGTTAGGGAAAGAGATTTACGAAAATTGAAAAATTTAAAGCCCATTCTTGAATTAGTGTTTTATATATTATTGTTAAGTAAGTTTAAGTGTTGTTGTGTGTGGAATAATGGACATATGAAAAGTGATGGATGTTATAGAATTTGTAATGATTGAAGCTCGAGTTTGACGAAGCTTTGTAAACTGTTTTCATAACTCAAGCATATATTTCTGCAGCAGGAATCGTTTGAGGTGGATTTTCATTCTGTACGCATTAAACAAAGTAATTCTGAAACCGGCTCCAGCTTGAAAACTCTCAAGTTGCACTCCGGACAATGGGGCTGTCTTCCATAAATAACCCGAACAATATTCAATAAGCCCTGGCTTTATTCCTCCAGGAATAGCAGTCGTAAAGCCCGCAGACATACCTACGGACGGATCCTCGAATCACAATAACGCTGGAGCTCAGCGGAATCCATAATCTTATTTTTGTACCGCACTGCGAAGCGTGAATTTCGCAATTACGAGAGCTCCGCCCGCACCGTGCGAAATTGATCTCAACATTTACAATCTTAAGAATTACATTAGCGCGTCGTGGCTTTCTCAAAATAAACACAACTTGTCTGTACACGTGCGAATGTGGACTTTATCTCGGAGTCGCAGAGTTACGTGGCGTTGGCGGGTTCTCGGCGCACGAAAGTGGACTCTGTGCGGCGGGTGGACGGTGGAGTGTTGAGTTCAGGATGCAGATGTGGCACGGCGATATCCATTGTGTTACCTCCTATAATTTTATCGAGGCTGATTTACGATCGATTGTTCGGCCGGTGGACAGTCGGCGGGGCGGTGTGTGCGTGCGCCGGCGCATGTGTGCGCCCGTGCGTGCCTACCAGCGCGTCGCGACTTACCTGCAGATGGCGCTCGGATGTGACCAGTTCTCTCGCCGCACAACGCCCTCGTAAATTAAGAAACGACGTCTACGTAGCGAGCTCCTTCCAGCTTTATTTTATGCATCGGAGAGGAATTGCCGGGGCGCGCTCGCGTACACTTTGAAAATTCAAATCCGCCTTTGTTAGCAGCCAGCGCGCGGCGGAAAGCTCTATTGGCAGATGTTTATATTAAGCTGGGCCACTAATGCCATGATAAAACGCTACCGATAAAACTTGTATAAGGTGCTTGCGGCAAATTGTTTTCCGGCATTGTTAAGATTGAGTTTCAATGCCCAATAGCCACTTGTAGGCGGCGTTTTGCTAAATCAATTGCTTGTAAAATATAGGAAATGGCGATGGTGGTGAATGATGTAAATTGCCTATTGGCTATAACTTAACATCGTCTGTCACGTTAAATACCCAAATTGAGGTTCGATCTAACGCTTAAATAGGTCCGTTTTATTATTGTTGTATTATATTGTTATGGATTCTAGATTTGGATATTAGACCTTGATAAAACTGTTGCAAAGTGAAATTGTTGTTCGATTCTGCAATCTCGGACGTCGATATTTCGCTCGATAAAACAACAGTGTTTAATTATTTACAATCTGGACATTAATTACGAAGCGAGACAACTATTGCCCCCCGTTAAAGTTCCCGGGTGGGAACGCGGGCGAAGGCGAGTTATAATTAAAGCCGGGAGCCGAGGAAATGAGGTCGCCTTCTCGGGGCTTCTGTACCTGTGCCTTTCAATTACTCGACATAGGCTGATAACACGCTAGCGCGATTAGCGCAACGTTCACCAAACAAACAATTGCCGTTCTACAACTCTAATTACGCGTCTCTCTAATTGCATACTCCAGTCACCGTTTAATGGTCTTTAATTGCCATCATTTTTGCATATATACACGTTATCGCATTAAGTCTTCGTGAAGAATACGCAACATCGTAAGGATTTGGTGGTTTTATCTGTTACCGAAAAAAACATGAATGCAATGCGACGAGTAAAACAATCGATGTATTTTTTTTTTTACTTTATTAGGTCTGCTTAACCGAATACAATCTAGCATGATAGCAAAAGAAATATACACAGAAAAAATAAATGATTGCATTATATACATAGCAAACACAGCATACACAATGAGACTCAATATAACATTAGGTACAAAGGTTTATCTACTGACCACTATTACATGAATAAAAACTATTTTTTTTTGTATATAAAACACAATAAAACATTATACTTAAATAATGAAATTAATGAGTAAACTATTTAATAGTTTAATGATATTAAAGGACCGAAAAATACCTAGACACTTTCTTTTTTGTAGAGGCCAAAGAACCAGTGAATATGTCAATATCAAATCTAATAGTATTACATAGTGAAGGCATGCGATACATAGGAGAGTTCTGGCCGAGTTTTGTCCTACTATACGGCAAAATAAACGTTTTCCTATTTTGAATACGACAACCTGCACGCGGGACCGAAAAATATAAACGCTCTAATAACTTTGGGGATTCTATAATGCCATGTATTAATTTATAGACAAACATTATGTCAGCAGCTTTCCTGCGTGACGAAAGGGATAGAAGTCCAAAATGTGACAAACGATCAGTGTAAGACTTAAATAATCGACATGTGCGATTATTGTAACACAGGTGGTATAAAAAACGTTTCTGGACGCTCTATTCGATCGGAATAAGTAATGTAATGAGGACTCCATACATTGCTACAATATTCCAATTTACTCCGCACGAGAGAATTATACAACAGTATACTAATACATGGTTGGCCAATTTTTTTCATTTTCCTGCTAATAAACCCAGATAGGCGTGAAGATTTATTTATAATGTTATCAATATGGTCTTTAAAACTTAATGAGCTGACGATAATCACCCCTAAATCATTAATGCGTTCAACTTCCTGTATCTTTCGGTTCTCAAGTGAAAAGTTGGCTAATCGATTTAGTATTTTTGTACTAAATTTTATGTGAAAACATTTATCAAAATTCAATGCCATATAGTTAGATGTACACCAAGAAACTACATTATTGATATCAGACTGTAGTAATCTAACATCTTCATTGTCTTTAATGATGCGATATATTTTCAAATAATCTGCGTACATTTTAAAATTGGATTTAATACAATGTCCAAGGTCGTTAATAAAAATTAAAAAGTATAATGGGCCGAGATGAGATCCCTGGGGAACTCCTGAAGGAACATTGTACTGAAATGATTTATAACCTTGAACTGAAACTAACTGCGAACGATTACTTATGTAGGACTGACACACCATCTTAACAGTGATCCGTGGATACCCATATACTCCAGTTTTACTAGAAGCAGGTCATGGTTAACTACATCAAATGCCTTTCTCAAATCCATGTAAATTGAATGAACTTCTTCGTTTTTTTCAAATGCTTCTACAATATCAGATACATATTCTAACAAATTTGTGTCAACAGATTTACGGGGTAGAAACCCGTGTTGACTTACGTATATCTGATCTTGTACATGAGATAAAATTGTTTTATGTACTAAGGACTCCAAAACTTTGGCACAACTTGAAAGAAGTGATATAGGTCTATAATTAGTTATATTGTGTATGGCGCCGGCTTTGTAAACAGGTGTTACATGCGCTAATTTCCACATTGAAGGGAACTTACCAGAAGTTAAAAATTTGAGTAATACTATAAAGTGATGTTAATGTATAATTTTTACTTGATTTCAAAATATATTTCCATCGGTCATTGGAACTAAGACTTTGACTGTTTGCGTAAGTTGACTGAAAGTATTCAGTAAATAAATTAGATATGGCTTGACCACCTTTAGCAGTTATGCCATCAAGATACATTTCACTCGGAATAGTAACGCTATTACTTTTAATATCCTTAACATATTTCCAAAAATATTTAGGGGACGTACGCAAATGATCTACAGCTTTTTTTTTGAAAATATTATAGCAATGTTTAATCATGTCATTACATCGGCGCCGAAGAAGAATATAAGTTTGTCTATCTAGAGGATTATTATACTTTTTGAAACGACCGTGGAACTTCTGTTTTTCTTTTAAGGATTTAATTAATGCTGAACTATACCATACAGGGAATCTTTCACAGCGTTTTATTTTCTTTGGTGTGTATTTGTGAATAAGGGGATTTATCTGTTCATAAAAAATTGTTAACATGTCATCTATCTTCGCCACCTCATGCCATAATAAGGACCAATTAATTTTTGATATGTCATTGTTCAGGGCAACAAAGTTACATGCATTATAATCTAAAAATGTTGAGTTATTATTTTTTAAAACTTTGGAGTTCATTCTTTTTATTTCTATTTCTATTTCTAATACAGGATGGTGAATATCAGTAGGTACAAATGATGAAATATTTTTTCTTATAAGAACTTGAGATGGGAAATTACAAAATACTAAGTCTAACATTTTTTTATTATCATTGACGACGTGATTACGTTATTAGAGTTATTACTATTCTATTTAATCAATAAATTCGTACCTATTACAATGTTATGTTAGTTATAATATTCTAAGTTAAAATGATGTATCGTATGAAGTAGGTAGTGAGTTGATGAATTTTTCTCAACGTTTACTAACGTTCGAACGTTCTTTGTTTTGAATTTAACTCCTTATGCTTAAATTATGTACTAGCTTGTCCACCTTGGTTTAGGATGGGCAGAAAATCTGTTATCTTACACATACGATATCACAATTAAGGCAAATATGGACTTTCAAGCAGCCTGTATAAAATTAGTGTAGATATTACTAAACTGGTAATCAAGACGTGTGATTGTTTATTTATAACATGAACTTTATTAAATACCTTTGTGAGTAAACTGCTACGAGCACAGGAATCTTTAAATAATCACTATTTATGTAATTGTTGTACAATATAATAACAATTACCTATATTACATAGTTTTTTTTAATGCTTTTCCTTTTGTTAATACTTTACCGGTGTAACAGAGTATTTAATATTTAGTATAATGTGAAAAGCAAACGTTCATTTGTGCTGGCAGGTGAGCTGGCGGTTGATGAAACTATGAATGTTTTACTATTTAAATTTCGATGGCGGACAGTTTTATGTACTGGTGTTACTTCCACATAAAATTTGATATTTTAATTTTAATTAGTGCTATAACTTCTTCGTTATATGAGTTCTTCGTTACATGTATTATTCGGATAAATATCTACTTTATCTAAGTTTTCACATTTCATCGTCATATTTTATCACTATCACTTTTTAAGAAGTGTCACAAATGCCCTTACTGAGAGTCTCAACTAGTACTTGTTTCACCGACATCCTCATCTGTGCACGTCATCAATTCAACTGGTCTCCTTCTAAATTCAACACTTATAGAAGTGACATACAAAAAATTGAAACAGATCATTATGAGATAAGATAAAAGAGACAGCGGTTTCCTTGATTCTGGATTTCGGAAAAAAAACGGCCAAGTGCGAGTCGGACTCGCGCATGTAGGGTTCCATACCATTATCTATAAAAACGGCAAAAAATCAGGTCTGTTCTATGGGCGCCTCCAATGATTTCATTTTGATTGGATTTCTTAATATGAAGATTAATGATCTTGAGTATGAGTAGTCTTTTATAGATGTGTTGACTTTCAGAGCAAATGCAATAATTCTAATTTACTCCGATTTTCCGTAAGCTAATTTTACACTTAGTCGTGCCGACATAGTCGTATTGATTATAGGTCAAGTTGATAAATATTTACTTATGTATTTATTTAAGATATACTGCGTCACAACCGAAGAATGTTAAGCGGTTAGCTTATATTTCATTGATATGAAATGCGCACTTTTACTTCTCAATTATATATTGTTGGCAACACTTAAAACGGCTACTATCAAATATGAGCAATTGATTTAGACGGTCGTGAAATACTAAAGAAGATAGATCTTGACTGCCTTCCTGAAATTAGTGAAAATACTTTTAAAGTAATTTAAATTTCTAGTCAGGTTACTTACCTTTTATTTTTGGCTCATTTGGTTT